TTATATTTTCAGCTCAAACCCCGATATCTCTGACCTACTATCGAACTGGTCCATCGTTTTCAGGAAAAAGGACGAAAGAAGGAAAGTTAGTAACCGTTGAAATGTCAGTGTTAGTTACACTTACACGATGGGACCAATTCTAACACCATTGCTTTCATAAATTTGATGGTTGGAGGGCTAATCTACATGTCATCAGTCGGAAGTGCCTTATAATTTTAAAGCAGAATCGATGGCATAATCTGCATTCTCCCGTTTCCTTCCCATACATTCATCAGAGTACTATTCATTTATCAACCTCAGAAGGAAGAAGGGCGAGTAACCCGAACAAAGCTTTAGCCTCGGCCTTCTCGCTTCTGAGCTTAACGGCTGACCGAGAGGGTAATCCCGGTCTAAAACAGATTGTGCTTAAGGAAATTCGCCGTAAAGACTAAGATTGTCGCCAGCATCTCTGGAGTTCAAATTCGAAGTCATCTTCTTATGCACTCTGTCTCAGAGTTTCCAGGTTTTCAGAAGTTTTACCTTGATCGCTGCCATTTTTCTGATGACTAAGCTGTTCTGTGACTTAGTTCCTAAAAAATGAGGTTGTTCTTTAGTTTGAAACGTTATCTCCATAAAAAATGACAGTTTTTAACAACAAACAATTTTTAAAGACTGAGAGACATTATTTCGCCAAACTCAATATGTCCTGGACACTTAAAGGGCACGAAAAATACTTTTTCATTCAATTTCCTGGAATTATTTATTCCACCCTTATTTTGCCAGTGTATCTTTGCCAATCCTTCTGTTCAGACATATGATTAGAGTTCTTTTTCTTAAACATGCTTGTCAAGCACTTAAAGCCATTACCTACTTAGTCGACTATCTCTGCGTACCTGAGGGTTTGTGTGGCAAAGGAAAACCTTCACCACCGAGATCACACCCCTAGAATGCGATTCTTTATCCGACTCTGTGGGTGTGAACCTTGACTAAAATTAAAGTGCTTCCTTTGAGCTCGATATTTGCTCAAGGTGTGCAAGTGTTCGATATTGACCGAAAGACAATGATTTCACATGCGAGCGATTGAACGATGTTCCTAGCATGATGATGGATGAAACTCAGAAATCTGCAGTCCAAATTATTCTGTCTTCTGAACCGCTATATGTCAACTCGAAAAATCACAATCGCTGAGGTTTTCACACGTGATGAGGATTCAGTAGCTCAATCTCGTGAGGCACATTCAGCTCATAAAGCGACACGACACGTCAAAGGTGAGATAGTTCGAGTATGATGAACCCATGGTGCTTTCACGCCTGGAAATTTATCCCTTCGAACTTGAGTGATTACTTAGGCACGCTGGTGTCAATTCATAAACTTCTTGAAGCTGCAGTAAACGTTAGAGGATGAGATGATCAGGCTGCGAAAATGATGATGATACTGTCGATTATTATGACTTATATGAAGTACCTGCAAAATGAATTTTTTAAATGTTTTTCGCTGAACACTAAATCTCACTTCTTTAGGTGAAAACGATAGTTTTTGACAAAACAGGCACCATTACAGAGGGAAGTCCGAAAATTACAAAAATTCGTTGTGCCCCATCTTCAGATGCCGATTTGATCGATTTGTTTGTACTGCTGGAAGCGGCAGAGCGAAACTGCGGACATCCGATTGCGAAAGCTATAAAGTCGTTTGCACAGAAAGTACGCTTTTATTATACGAAACATATTGATTATTATTTTTGCGTCAGTGCTTTGCGTTAATTAGTTGGATCTTACTGGCAGCTGCACATTTTTTTAGAAGTTGCTTCCTTGTTATGTTTTTGCATGCAACAGATTAGAACACATTACATTCATACTTATATTATGTCATTTGTTATTTTTTGATATTACTTTTTTGCTTTTTTTATTATGCCAAAAAATCTTGTCCGTGTACGATAGCATTCAAGCAATTAAGCTTCAATTTAACCTATGAGGGACCTTCGAACGGTTTCGATTCTGCAACGGACACCGGTAAGGAAATTCTTCGTTACTCATAGCCTTTTTGGCTGTAACGACTGTGTAACAAAGAATCATTTAAAAATATCTTAATTCAATATCAGCTCATATCGAGTGCAAAGGGCCACTATTCTTGAAATTACAAATGGAATGAAGATGCTCTTTCCACGACAATTGTTAAAATGGCTGCTGCAATCGTCTATATCTTTTTGTCACTAGAAAACACGTTCAGATTTATGAAATTTCAGGTTCTGCCGTTGGACAGATCCGCCATTTGTGAAAACTTTTACGACTGTCCTGGACTTGGCGTTCGATGCATGATTTCCAACGTCAGTGCTGCTTCGACTGAAGCATTGACTGCAGATCTACTGGGTGTATCCAAAAGACGGTTCGTTGAAGAGGTCGAAATTACGAATGCGCCTTGTTTGCCAATGCCGCAGAAATGTAGGTTTAATGTAGGATTCGCAATGGCCACTTTTCTAAAGTAGGAATTCAGCTGATGCTGTATCCGACACCTACGAAGTGATCATTGGCAATCGACAGTGGCTAGTGCAGAATGGAGTATACGTCTCTTCGGAAGTTGATGATCTAATGACGACGGAGGAACGAAATGGGCACATAACGGTGCTGTGCGCTGCTTCAAGTGAGCCACTCTAATTTTTGTATGCTGTTTGGATTATGACAAAAAAGTTTCTCTCCTTTTTAATGGCGAGAGCAAAGATTAGGTTCGAAAAGGAACCCATTTATCCTCTTCAGTGCTACTGTCACTTAGTATGGAACTCACCCCGTTTGCACAAGTCCAACATGAAATGTTTGAACCAAAAATCACCTGTCATGGAGAACAATAATAATATTAAAACCAATAAGTGCCACCTGCGATCAAACGGAGTTCTATAGAATGTTTGAGGTTGAAGATCGACTATCTTTATTGATGATAATTCCCACCATTTATCCTTGGATTGGATTCATGGAAGTCTAGGTATATAGAGTAGAATTTATTCTGCTAAGCTGCGACGAAGATTTATAATGAACTCTGAACAATTACTAAAGCAATGGTAATCACAAGTGGGCTGATTGCGTTATGCTGTGCATGAAGCGACCGTTGTTGAGGAGAAGGATGTTCTGGATACAAACTCGGAGAAAATATGCTGTTTTTTGGAGGGATTACTGCTCGCAATAATCTTGGAAGAAAGCATGGTAGAACAATGTCATGCCGTTAGAGTTATTAACAGAAAATGACGAGTGACCGAGTCACTAATTACCTTGAAAGATGATTCGAATGACATTTGGCATGCGATATTAAGAAATGTTATAAAAAATTACATAATTGGCGCCATTTCGATGACCATGTCCAAAATGTGCGATGACAACTGTTGCCCAGATTTGCAGATTATGTCAACACCCTTTCAACCAATGCATGTCGTTGATTCCTGCAATAACTTTCAAAGAATTTACCACAATATGCTCGAGCACCCATGATCTAGAACGGTCTGCATAGCATAGATCTCCAATAAAATAGGATACTGTGGTCCTGCGTTTAGTAAGGACAAACTTAGGTGAAATGAACATGCTGCCATATACGGTCTTAGTTTAACCAAATGCAGCTCATTTTCCCCACCGTATAGAGGACCAGATCGTTCAAAAAAATCAGCTGTTGGTCACAACCTTGTGACAGTAGAGATACTTCCAGTGTCTCTATGAAGATAGCCTATGGCCATCACTGGTCATCCAGGCCACCGCTGACAGGTAAAACACTGCCGACAGTGCGACTCTATTGATGAAAAGCAGACAACGCAGCATACTGGCTTCGAATGATCCAGGACACTTGAAGTGCAAGATGGCTATGCCACCCATATGGCTATCAGAAATCTGGACATGTCAATTCTGTTAACTATTTCCCATCAGTACGATTTAAGAAAAATAGAATGATAATAAAAATCTCCGGGTAAATCAAGGGTCGACAAAAACTGACGCCTCTCTGCATAGCATGGCTCATCACATGAAGAACATGAACTGAAACTCAGTGAACAGTCTATCTACCGCAGCTGCTTAGATTACATCAGGGCACTTAATGAAAGATTACCTTTTCAGGGTAATGTCTTGTACCTTGTGCTAATTATCATAATAGATAATCAGCCACCCAGTGGGTGAAAATGAAGTGTAGCCACAATAGGGGTTCATATCAGACAGTGATGGTAAATATAGTTTGTCCATTCTGATATGACTACACCAGAATACCATTCTGTTCCTGCTGTTCGCAAGTCAACGACTCGTTATCCGTTTCTCAGCTGATTGCGTCGAAACAGCAATGGGTAAATTTCTTGCTCAATGAAACATGCGGTCAAGACAAGGCTGTTCCTTTTTCAGATTGCAAACCAGCACCTCTAGTTTTTAAGGGCAATCGTATTGTAGCTGTAACAACACAATCGATAGATCAACAGTATCTTACTATATGTCAATAACAATGCCTTTGTCGAAAATAAGACTCTAATTTCACGCTGATGAAATATGGCCATGATTATGTATTTAGAAGTGATTCGTTGCCTGGTGTGCATAAGCGATTCGGTGAAAAAAGACGCGGCCCTCGCCATTTATACTATCAACAGAATGGGCATCAATACGGTGTTGCTGACGGGAGACAACGTCAATACGGCCACCGCGGTGGCGAAGAAGGTCCATTCTCATTTTCATAATTTAAAACTATTTTTATTCGCGTTTTCAGGTTGGTATGCAAGTCACTTATGCTGAAGTGTTGCCGAACTACAAAAAATTGAAAATCGAACAAATCAGAAAGTTTGGAAAAGTATGACGTCATTTCTGAATACTAATTCTTAAACCAAAATTAAAGGCCTATTAATTTAAATAAAACTTCCATAAGATATTTGACTAATGGCTTCATAATCGCACCAAGGAAATTCACTACTCTAAATGGTTTGGCAATTTTGCCAAACCCTATGCTTTGGTGTTAGGAGCCAATCTTTGATATTTTCTTCCAAAATAATTATGTATATCCTTTCAGGTTGCGATGATCGGCGACGGAGTGAATGACAGTCCGGCCCTTGCCGCCGCAGACGTCGGAATTGCCATCGGTGCTGGCTCAGACTTGGCAATCAGGGCCGCCGACATCGTTTTATTGAAGGCACATTCGTCGCTACTAAAAGTGGTGCAGATGTGAAACTATAAAATCTTGTCTCTTTCAGAATAACTTGATTGACGTCGTAGTGGCTCTGGAGCTGTCCAGGAAAACAATGCAGAAAATCAAAATGAATCTTATGTGCGCTTCGATTTATAACCTCTTGGCGATACCTATCGCTGCAGGTAATTATCGTGATATGCGCCATAAACTCTACGTATATGTAGTAATAACAGATAGTACGTGTAATACGTTACACATGGTTATCATACTTTGCGTTCTTAACTGATATCTTAACTTTACACCATGTGCGCCTTAATGGAATGATCGAAACTTTAGTCGACTGTTCAATAGTATTTTCTTCTTGGAACTCTTGCAGACAATCATGACGGTCACACATCGCAATTATTGCTCATTTTTCTTCTTTAGACTCAGGAAAGAGTGAAGTACTCAGTGTTGTCTTTCTCTGCTGCGAACTTTATGAAGTTTCTCAACCAATTTTCTCTTTCTGTTTGATCTTCCGTTTGTCAGCGATTCACACATTCAAGTTCTCTTCTATCGTGATAGGTTCTTGTGCCCTTGCCGACAACTACAATCTCACAAAGGTAGCAGATCCACAAAGAATTCGATAAATAGAACTAAGAGAATAGTAAGAATGAATTTTCATTTTTTTCAGATTTCTCACGCATAACCCTGGTAGCCAACAGCCTTTGCAATTTCCCTGACGATTGAGACGGCACATTCGTTCCATGCTATGGTGCAATTTTCAAAGTGAATTACTGAGGTCTCAGTGTTACGCTAATACCGGTGCTGCACTCGAAATATTCACTTGGAATCTTTTGATCAACTGTCTTTCTATTTTTCCTGCTGCGGAAATCACCACTTTAAGGTCGGACCCTCCTTACTCCTTGCTGCCATGCAATCGCTCTTGCGGTATATATCTTTCTTTTCCACATAGACTTCTGCAAAATACAGATGGAACTTCGCGCTAGTAAGAAATAGTTTTGGTTTTAAACACAACTCCGATAATCGAATCTTTGACAATGCTTATAGGAGTCTTTCAACCGATTGGCATCAGCATACAACCATGGTTCGCAGGAATGCTAATGGCCTTGTCATCGGTGACCGTGGTTACTTCATCGTTGATGCTAAAGTTCTTCAGAAAACCAACCGAGAAATCTCTCACAACCCCGGAATACTTTGACTACCTGGCCCGTTTGTCATACTCCGAACGACCTGTATCTGTTGTCAGTGGATCGGCGGAGATAAATCCGAAACTTAGCGAAACATCTTATAATGACCTGGAATACCCGTCGTATAAAAGACGGCCGTTGTTGACTGCAACATTTTTCAGGTCAAAGTTGAACGGCTATTCTAAAGATGCTGTCAGCAGCGAGAAACTCTTGCCTGATCTGTGATATTAAAATTGTAAATTTTGATGCTTGGTGAAAAGTGCCAAATAAAATACCTTCGTTTAATAAATCTAGTTCACATTTTACAACAAAGATTTTTAGTTTCATCTCATAAGAACACATATTATTTTTGAGCTGTCACTGATTTCAAAATTTTTATTTCAAGAGAATATTTTGATTAATAAAGTTGAGGTCTTAACGCTGCGCTGTAAGAAATGGAGTACCATACGAAGATCCGGCGGCAGCAGCAACCGGAGAATCAAATGGG